AATAAAGTCCAAAAAAACTTTAAAAACCAACGGCGCCGATTCTGACCCCCTCACCAGTTCGCCCTCGCGGCGCCCATTCCCCGGGACACCCGTCACGCGCACCCAGGGTTCACGCTTACGCCGCGATGAAACTCACCGATCTGGCGAAAGCGTCGCGGGCCTTGCGCTTCAAGCCAAAAGCCGTAAGCCCTTGACCTCTTGCCCCACGTATAAAGAATTGAATTTCTGAGCCCTCTGCCCAAAGCCCTACACCGTAGACCCTGGGTCCTACACTAAGCACTAAGCCTCAAGGCCTAGCGCCGAGGCCCTTGGGCGCAAGCCCGACGGCGTAAGCCTGAGCCACGACGCCTGAAGCCCGAGGCAGTAAGGCCAAGTCCCTGAAGCCCAAACCACACCCAGGGCCCCAAGCCGCTGAACCCTGGACGCCGCGCCTCAGCCCCCAGACCCTGGACCCTGGGCCCACGGCTCGGAGCCTTCGGACCCATGGCCTGGGTCCATGGGCCAAGGCCCTAATTCCTTGGCCGTGGCATCGATGCCTTACGCCAGAGGCTGCAGGCCTGGGGTCCTGGGGCCCAAGCCAAACCTGAGACCCCTGGCCGCCCTGGCCCCTGGGCCCTAGGCGCCGCGCCCCAGACCCTATGCCCTATGCCCTATGCCCGAAATCCACGCCCCAATGTAAGGTGCGCGGCACAGGGCCGGGGGCCCTGCCGCACGCCGCGGGAATCACACTCCCCCGCGGGACCCCGCCCCCCAAAAAGGCAACCGCGAAAGGCCCCCCGCCGGCAGGGCTTTGACATTCCGCGGCGAAATCTGGAGACCCCCCGGGGACCAGTAAAGTTTACCACCGCTGTTCACAATGAAGTTCAAAAAAATCCTAGAACAGTTCAAAACAAGTTCAATAACAAGTTCAAACAAATCCAAAAAGTTCAAAACAAGTTCAAACAGTTCCAATAAAGTTAAACCATTTCAAAAAAAAGTTCAAAAACAATTCAAAACGTCCAAAAAAATCAAAGTTCAACAGCAGTTCAAAAACAGTTCAAACAAGTTCAAACAAAATTCAAAAAAGTTACAAAACAAAAACACCATACAAATTAAAGAAACAACGGAGTTCCAAACAAATTCCAAAAAAAATCAAAACAAATCAAAAAAAGGTTTGCCGCTTCCGGGAAGGCCCAAAAACAGCTAGGGCAGGTTCGCCGAACCCGGGGGGGTTCTCGCGGGCGCTCCCATTGCCCAGGGCGTCCCCGGGCGCCAGGGTCCCTGGCGGCGCCTCGCAGGGCGCCTTCCGGAAATGTCAATGTACGTTCCAATATCTGGGGTCGAGGGTCTAGGGTCCCTAGGGTTTACCGCCTCGGGTCTAGGGCCTAGGGTCCTATGGCCTGGGGTCTAGGGTATATGGTCTAGGGTGTAGGGCATCGGCTCTAAGGTCTAGAAGGACTCGGGTCCAGTGTCTAAAGCTTTAGGGCCTGGGGCCTCGAATCTCAGTCTAAAGGTCTGGGGTCTCGGGCATCGAGTCTAGGGTCGATGGGCCTCGGGACTGGGGCCGACGGGAAGCGCGTTCGAGGAACGAGGAGCGTGGACCGTTATTCTGAAGGAAACACCTAACCTATATCTATATATATATATATATGTATATATATATATATATATATATATGTATAGGGGTTCCAGGCTGCAACTCGGACGGGCGTTGGCGGATGACGATAAGCGTCTTCGAGGTGCGAAAAGACGAGCTGGACGTTTTCGCTGAATCCACCTCGTATCTGTAAGAAATCTATAAGTATAGGGTGGCGCGCTGCACGGCGCGGCACGCCCGCTGGGGCCTTGGGTGGAGGTCCATATGGGGCCACGAAACGCGTGGGATCTGCGATGTAACAGAATTCGTACGACTTCTCTACCATTCCATTCAACAAGCCGAAAAAAACATGATTTTCTAATACAAGCAACAAGGAACTTATATCATTTGAATATTTTAAAGGAGACAAATAAGCAGGAGTTTCTTAATTGGTAGACAAAAAATACAAGACTACATACCATTATAATAGCTTGTGTCATACGAATTTACATAAATTCGTTACTATGCCATGGTTCTTGCAGAAAAGAAAATAAATAACATATACAAATAAAAACCCGGAACTTTCCCGGAACTTAAACGGGACTTTTTTGAACTTCTCGAGAAGAAACCCAGGGGGGGCCCTTTGCCTTGGAGCAGCATTGCAAGCCCAATCCCCCTCCCTCGCCCAACCCCGAGGGAACAAAACGCGCCATCCTCTCCGCCATCCACCGCCCCCCTCCTGAGACGAAGCCAGGACGAAGATAACATCGGGCGAGATGAATCGAGAATCTCTGAGATCTGCTGGCTCTGGAGGATGCCTCGAACGCTGCAGCCTTCCCGGAGCGTTCCAGAAGGAACACTCTGGAACGGATTGATCCTCGCACTAGCCCCGCCCGGCCTCCTCCCCCTTCCCCCCCTCCTCCCGTCTCTCCTCCTCCACCCGCTGCGTCCCGAGGGAGCCGGAGATCCTGGTCTCGGGGGCCCATCCCCCCCAGACCATTTGGACGCCCGAAATTGGTACGGAAAAATGGGTCCAATGCCCAACAACAACTGTTGTCCCGAACCGACAGCGGCCGCTGTTGGGCAGTGCGTTCTGTCTCACATGGACACAAGCCGCGGCGGCACGGACAGCGAGTCTTGCTCAAAATGAACGGGAACTGCTGGTGGGCATTGCACCCACTCTTTCAGTACAGTGAAAACGTATAGTAAGGACGCGTGGTCAGGACGCAAGACCCTTGGAGGCCGAAGTTGAAGTAGTCTGGCCTGCGAAAATTGCCAGGGACTGGCCGCAGAGGCTGAGGCAGGCAAGGACCCAAGGGTACCCTTGAAAAAGTCGTTTGTCCTTACTATGCGCGTTGGCTGTACCCATTTCCTGCGTGCAGAGACCAGCCCTTCGCCCCGAGCCGCTCCCCCAGGGCCCGCTCTGCTACGTGGCCAGCTCCGGCCGCCTTTGGCGTGACCTAACGGGGGGGTCATAAACGGAGGGGGCAGAAAAAGGTCCCCTTTCGTGCCCCTTTCGGGCCCCTCCAGAGCCCCAGGGGGCTCGTTTAGGTACCGTTTGGGTACCTTTTCGAACCATCCCATTTACGACCCCCCCATTTACGACCCCCCATGACGCGGCGCCCCTCGCCCCGGACCACCCAATTTACGACCCCCCCATTTACGACCCCCCGGACCACCCCATTTACGACCCCCATTTACGACCCCCCGGACCACCCCATTTACGACCCCCCACTTACGACCCCCATGACGTTTGGGTACCACCCTCGCCACCCCCCCCATTTACGACCCCCCCATGACGCGGCGCCCAAGCTCTGCTCCGTGGTCGGCTCCGGCCGCCCCCCCCCGCCGCCTCTGCCGGCCCCGGCTCCGAGGGCGGCGAGGCCCTGTGCGCACCCGCTGCCCCCCGGCGAGGCCCCCCTCCTGGGCCCGGGGGGCGGCGCGCGTGCCCCCATATAGGAGCGACGATGAGGAAGAGGTCGTATACTTGCGCAGGGACCGACCGTCCCGGCATTCCTCGCACGTGGCCGCAGCGCGCCACGGTCTGTTTGGCGATCGGAGCAGCTGGAATCGGACGGCCGGCGCGATTGCTCTGGCCTCCGACTCGTGCACGGCTGCCTGCTGCTTGATTCGCCGTGCATGGATGTTATGATAGAGGATGGTGGCGGCAGCGGGAACAAGGAGGGACCCAGACCGTCCCAGCATTCCTATAGTCATACCACGAAATGTTTTTGGAACCCCAAAAACGTTCGACTACCAAAAACAACGTTCTTAGAACAGAAACCCGATGTGATCAAACAAGACAGACTCCGCCAGAAATGTTCTGAGAGCATCTCGTGGAAACCACAAAAAAGTTCTCAGAACATGGCTTGGTAGGGCTATATAGGCGAGCCAGGACGCTTCGCCGCTGCTTGTCTTACGCGAGACGGCACCGCGACCCCACGCCGCAGCTCACGCGGCCCGCCGGCGCGGCACGCCACATGGAGGCGAGAGCGCTCCATTGCGCGCGGCCTTGCGCGGGCAGCCGACGCGCCAATGTCGGCGCAGACGACCCCTTTTCTTGCGTCGCTCATATCGGGGATGGACAGACCTCCCTTCAGTAAAACGTGGCTTAGTGAAAACGACCTGAGGCCCAAGCCTGGCGGGCGCAAGCCTGGACAACGACGGCCACGGCGCCCTCTCGAGAACCGAGAACGGACAATCCACGAATCGACGTGTCACTGTTGGGGGTGCTGTCCACCCCCGATCATGTGGCCGGGCTGGGAGGGCGTGCGCGCCGCGCCCCTGGGCCCCCAGGGGGGGGCCGGGGCAGGGGGCAGCGGGTGCCCGGGCGCCCGGCCGCGTGCTCTGGTCACGGCCGGGCTCCCCAGAGAAGTCTGGCTCTTCTCTCACACGTGGCCCCTGGATCCACATTGGCACGCGCCCGTTGCGGCTCGAGTTGCACACAAGCAGATCCGCCACATCTCGTAGAGCAGCCTGATCCCAGAATATGTATTGATTGACCAGATCGCAAGATGTATACCTCCCTTCCAGTCGCACATGCCAAGTAGAGCGCGTGTGACCAGCTCTTCGTCCGGAGCGGTTTCTGCCACAGTCCCGGAGCCCCTGGGGGCCCCCCGGCGAAGGAAAGGGAGCCAACACCTGCCCCACGTGCTTTTTATGTCCCACCGAGGGGATGTCATGCAGGGTATGTGTACATCTCGTCGCCCTAAGCTCCCTGAGATCCCACGTTGCTAGAAACTTGCAACATCGCAGAAAATGCCGACCGGAACCCTGGACCCCATCTGTCTGCGTCATTTTTCGAGCCGGATCGATCTGTCAGTGCCCTGGGGCCCGAAGAGCGGAAACGCCCGTTGTGAACAAATTGCAACGCCAAGATCTCAGGGTCAGTGTATGTGAAAATCTCGTCGCCCCAAACTCACAAAACCAGCACCCAGGACGCGACCCCCCTTCCTGGAAGCCCAGCTTCACCGGCGACAGGAACCGCAGGGACCGGACGCAGGCCACGAGGTTGCTCGTCCTCGGCGGGGGGAAGGGGCAATCGGCAGCAGGACAAGCGGGCACTGCAGCGCCTGGGGGGAGCAGAGGAGAATTGTGTTGGGCCCAGACCCCTTCGAATCATGACGAAAATCACGACAGGTTGTTTTTCTATATTTTCGGCCCCTGGGAGCCCTTACCGGGCCTCGGGACCGTCCAAATCTCCTATTAATCCTCCCTGGGGTCCGATTTTTAAGGCGCCTTTTTTGTAACTGGGGGGGTCCGGTTTATTAGGGCGCTGTCTTTGGATTGGAGTTTAGAGGGGTTCAATGTATTAAGGCGCCTCTTGGAACTGGTTGCCCAGCTCTTGTTTTGGATGCATACCAGCATCATGATCATCAACCTCACCATCAGCATCATCATCGTCATCATCAGCATCAGCATCAGCATCAGCATCAGCATCAGCATCAGCATCAGCAGCAGCAGCAGCATCATTATCATTATCATTATCATTATCATTATCATCATCATCATCATCATCATCATCATCATCATCATCATCATCATCATCATCATCATTACCCGCATCATCAGCATCATCATCATCATCGGCATCAGCGATGACGCCGATAGCAATGCAATGGCGATATGCATGACGACAGCGATGGTGCGCCTGCAATGGCGACGATCAAATTGCGTTTCAAATGCATCCGCCTGGGTGTTAATAGATAAATCCTCTGGCGCGGTATGCTGAGAACGGCCCTCCGCGGAACCTGAACAATACATTGCGTCCCAAATGCGTGCGACTCGGTGTCAACAACTCCTCTGGTGTGCCCGCAACGGTGATGTTATTTTGCTGAGGGGGAGATCCGGAATATGAAAGCGCCCCGTCGAAGAGGGAGGTCCGGAATATTAGGTCACATTTGGAGGGGGGTCCGGTTTTTTAGGAGGGGGTCGATTAAGAAGGGATTTAGAGTAAACTGGTCCCGGGGAATGGGTCCGGACCTCTGGGGGAAAGAGTGGAAAAATACAAGAAAAGGGTGGAAACGTGCAGGAAAGACCGCAGGAAACGCGCACGTGAGCTGCAAGGTGCAGGAAGAGCGAGGCGGGACACCGCGGAGGGCGGAGCGTGCGGGCGGGGGGGCCCAGCTCGGACCAGGCAGGCGCTGCGTCCGCATGCGGCGGCCCAGGCTCGCAGGAGTCGCGGAAGGGGGGGCGCCAGGTCGCCCCGGAGGAGGCACAGAGGAAAAAGAACTACGCACATACACCGTTTGTGGCCAGGCCCATCCTGAGCCCAGGATCGGTGCATACGCCCTCCTACCCTGGCCAGGAAGGCAATATGCACCGATCCTGGGTCAAGCATGGGCCTTGCCAGGATCGGGTGCATGTGCATAGTTCCCTTCGCCCGAAGGCACAGAAGGTCGGCGCGCATATCGAGGACGCCTCGTGGAAAGAGAGCAACGGCCCACAGCAGAAACATAACATCTCGCATGGCCTCCCTCCCTGCCGGGCGGAGCGCGCCAGGGGCGGCGCCGGAGGCGCCGCCAGGCAGGGGGGGGGCCCCACGCCGATGCAAGAGAGCGGCGGTTGCCACCTGCGAGAAAGTATGTGTATGCACGAACGGACCCACGGGCTCACACACACACAACTGGATACAAATCCCAGGATCCCCATCTTGTCCGTATTTTCTGGATGCTCGAGTTTCCCCCCACTTTCCAAAGAGTCCCTATTCTCCTGGGAAGCGGCGACTAGCTGTGCCCGTGTGGCTTGCTCCCTCCTGAGTTGCTTCCTCTTCGAAGGGGGCGGCGCACCTGAGCTGCACCGAATCGCGAAGCAAGACCAAGCCAGGACGAGGATCAAATCGGGTGAGGATGCGTAACTGATCCAGCGGCCCTGAGGGACGTCTCGGGCGCCGCGGCCTTCTCAGAGCGTTCTGGAACGCTCTGTAGAGCGTTCCGGAACGCTCTTGCACGGCTTTCTCCTCGTCCCAAGGGCTCCCAACTTCGCGCTTCGCGCTCCGCGCGAAGAGCTTCGCGCTCTCTCGCGCCGCCTCCCAGGGGAGCAGAGGAGGAGGACGAGGAGGAGTCGGAGGCCGAAGCGCGAGAAGCGCGAGGCGCGAAGAACGTCGCGCCCTCGAGGGCGCCCCTGTCGTCCTGAGTCGGGCATGGACAGACCCCCCCTTCAGAAAAACGTGGTTTAGTGAAAACGACCTGAGGCCCAAGCCTGGCGGGCGCAAGCCTGGAAAACAACGGCCACGGCGCCCTCTCGAGAACCGAGAACGGACAATTCACGAATCGACGTGTCACTGTTGGGGGTTCTGTCCACCCCCGATCCTGCCCCCGTCCGACGAAGCCAGGCTGCGTCGAACACGGACCGGGCCTCCGGCGGGCCGAGGCCCCCGAAAATCGAGCCGATAGGTCGGGCCGCTGCGCCCGAATCGCCGCCTGGCCCTGGCCGTCGCGCGCCAGTGAGCCAGGCACTTTCTCGGGAGCCTGGCCTGAGCAGCACGGGGCGTCTGGAGCCACCGGCCATTTGTTTTTCGGCGGCGAGCGAGGGCTCCTCCAGATTCTCCTCCTCCTCGTCCTCCTCCTCCTCTTCATCCTCCTCATCCTCTTCCTCCTCCTCCTCCTCCTCCTCCTCATCATCATCTTCCTCCTCGTCCTCTTCCTCCTGCTCCTCCTCCTCCTCCTCCTCCTCCTCCAGGTTCTTCTCCTCTTCCTCCTCCTCCTCCTCCTCATCCTGTCCTGGCCTCCTCCTCTCCCTCCCCTCCCTCCTCGCGCCTCCATCGCCGAGGCTTTTTCGCACGGCCCTGGCCACTCCCAGGCCTCCACCTGGGGGGGGGGCCTTCCGGAGCCCCCCCCCCCGCGGGGGGCCCAGAATCCCCTCGCGCCCTCAGCACGAAACGCACGGGTTATGATGTTCCAACCTACTGTAGCCTCGGTCACCAGAAAGAATTTCGAGCACCAGAGAAAGAGTACCGAAACTCGAGGGTGTTCACGTGTCGGGCCCTGGGAGGCACTCGTCCGACACTACTGCGACACTCTTTCGGCACTCTTTCGACACGATTCCAGGTGTTCGAAATTATTTCTGGGATGTGGTCCTCAAGTACGATGGGAGCAACATAACTAGAGGCCTCCTAGATGGGGTCGGAGTAGATGGGGTCGGAGGATCGCGCCGCATCGGCAATACATCGGCGATGCATCGGCGATGCATCGGCGATGCACCGACGATGCATCGCCGACGTCGGCGACGCATCGGCGACGCCGGCGTGGAGAACATCGGGTTCCGCATCGAGCCGCATCGGCGATGTATCGCCGATGCGGCGCGATCCTCCGACCCCATCTACTCCGACCCCATCTAGGAGGCCTAGAATAACGCACGGGTCCTGAACGGGGCTTCCCCCAGGACCACATCGTCATCCCGAACAGCCGAGCAGCTTTCTGACGGCCCAGGGGCCCAGGGAGGGCCCCCGGAGCCCGCGGGCTGTGCGCAACCGATCTCCGGGGCCTGCTTCCATCAGGACCCGCCTCCTCCTTCACTGAAGGGGCCCCAGGACACACAAACAAATACACACACAAATAAACAGATTCCCCCTATTTTCTCATATTTTTTCTGGGTCTTTGTCTCCCCCCCCACTTCCCATATCTTCCCAAATGCTCTCGGGAGTCGACGATGAATTGTGTCTGCGTGTTTCTTTCCCTCCTGACTCATGGCGGAGAGGGGGCCCGCCACCGCTCGCACGTCCGTGCCCCGTGTAGGTTTCGACGCCGTGTGTGGCTCGATGCTCCAGGGTGCTCTTCGGCGGTCCTCGCCGAGGGAGGTGCACACGTCCGAGAGCGATGCCAAGGGGAGAGGAGGGTGCAGAGAGGGAGGAGGGAGCCACATAATATTATCCGGGGTCCTGAACTGTGGATTCAGCACGCGGTCCCCGAAGTCCTCAGCCGTGCCCCGGGGCCGTTTTTTCCTCTCGTCCCGAGCAGTTGTCCCCCCGAGATCCGGCGTTGCGAACAAAAATTGCAGCATCGCAGATAAAAATCAGGACCCTGCGTCTCTACGTTCGAGCCGGAGCGATCTGGAAGGGCCCGGGGGCCCGAAGCTGGGCGCGGGTGCAGAAACTGCAGCGCCACGAGCTCAGCGTTTGACTGTCCCTCGCCATCGCTCGGACGTCCATTCCCTGCGTTTTTGTCGGTTTCGTGCGTGGTTCGGGGATGGACAGACCTCCCTTTAGTAAAACGTGGTTTAGTGAAAACGACCTGAGGCCCAAACCTGGCGGGCGCAAGCCTGGAAAATAACGGCCACGGCGCCCTCTCGAGAACCGAAAACAGACAATTCACTAATCGACGTGTCACTGTTGGGGGTTCTGTCCACCCCCGAGTGGTTTTTTCTCCAACTGATCAAGGATGCTCCTCGATGGCCCTCGCCGAAGGAACAATGCACACGTCCGAGCGATGCCAAGGTCTGCAGGGGCCGGCGGGGGTCCCCATGGGAGGGGAGACGCCGGAGGGCAACCTCCGCCCCGCTGCTGCTGCCGGCGCGCCGGAGGCCCGGGGAGGGCCAGGCGGCGGCGGCCAGCGGGCCTGACGAGGAAGCCGCAGGTGATGAAGCTGAAGATGTTCGCGGCCACCTCGGCCCGCAGGGGCCCCGGGACGCCTCAAAAGACCGGCCCATAGTACGCCCAAGACGGCCTGAGATGGCCCAAGTGGCCTCCAGCCCTGACCTTCCAGGGTGCTAAAACATAGCCCTCCAGACCTATAGACCTATCTGGGCTGCCTGAAACCTCGACAGGAATTAAGATATCGAGATCCTGGTGCTATTTTTTAGCCCTCCTGGAAGGGCAGGGAGGTCGCCCCCTTAAAGGCATCCAAGATGGCAGGGGGCCCGCCCCGTGCGCCGCGCCCTCCCTCGCTCGGACACACGAGGGCGCCCCGCGCCGCCGAGGGCGAGGAGGGGGCCGAGGAGGGCGACGACAGCGACGACGGCGAGGGGCGGCGACGGCGGCAACGGCGGCGATGGGGACGGCCGCGACGACGACGAAGACGGCACGTCGGCCTCGACGGCGACGACGGCGACGGCGACGGCGACGGCGACGCCGACGACGAGGACGAGGACGACGACGAGGGCGAGACGACCGCGTGCCGCTCTGCGCCCGCGGAGCGGGAGCCCGGGGCAAGGCTCGGGACGAGGACGCTCGGGGGCCAGAACGTGCTCGCTGTGGGACCACAATAATACAGATTGCGTTGCTCCCAGGATCTCTCCCAAGGAGCCCGCCGAAAGCTCCCCAAGAGACCGTCACGAGAGCTCAGGAGGCCCCCTGGAGGCCTCCCGAGTTCTCCAAGAGGCCTAAAAAGAGGCGCCAAGAGGCCCCAAACGGCCCCAACGAGGCTCCAAGAGGCCACGAACGCGCAAGCAAACGCCTGCGATGGCACAATACGGGCTCGCTGTGGGACCACAATAATTCGGCGGTGGACAGACCTCCCTTTGGTAAAACGTGGCTTAGTGAAAACGACCTCGGGCCCAAACCTGGCGGGCGCAAGCCTGGAAAACGACGGCCACGGCGCCCTCTCGAGAACCGAGAACGGACAATTCACGAATCGACGTGTCACTGTTGGGGGTTCTGTCCACCCCCGAATAATACAGATTGCGTTGCTCCCAGGGTCTCTCCCAAGGTGCGGTCTGACATGACCAGAATTCGCAGATAATCCGGCCGCGGCGACGACGGCTTGCCAGGACGAGCAGCGACATCGAGATACCTTCCTCTGAATGATGGGCCACAACCGGCGGCGCGAGACGCTGAGCAAAAATGTCTGATCGGTATCGAACCGATCGGACAGAACCCCGCAGATGGAGGACCGGCGTCGCCCGTCGGTTTGGTCTATTCCATGGAGCCTATGTGGCCCCCACCACTGTCCGAGTTGGGCCATATTTGGCATGGATTTGGAACACATGTGGGACCAGATTTCGATAGGGTTCGCCCCCTTGAGGGAGACGAGGCAAACAAGGAGGGGGGGGAGGAACAGGAAGGGCGAGGAGGAGCATGAGGGCCCGATGTGGTCCTTAACAAAGCGCAAGCTTTATCAATGTAGGGAAAGCGGAAGCTTAATCAATGTCGCCGCCCTAGGCTCCCATAAACAAACATCCGACGTCCGGGTGCGCGGCTCGATCCACCGGCGCCGTGCCCAGGCACTGCCTCGCATCATCGCGCCGATCGGCTCGCGGGCAGCCCTGCTGCTCCTCCGCCCCGCATCCTCCGTCCTCCGCCCTCCGCCCTCCATCCTCCCTCCCCCACCTCCATCCCTTCTCTGCCAGCCTCCCCTTCCTCCCACTCCTCCCCCTCCTCCTTCTCCCGACTCCTCCAGAAGCCTCCTGGAGCTCCCCGAGGCCCTCTTCGAGACGGACCCCCCACGGGACCGTCCAGAGGCCTGTGGAGGCATACGGGAACCTCCGGAGACCTCAGGACATCTCCGGAGGCCTCCTCCTCCTCCTCCTCCGCCTCCTCCTCATCCTGCTCCTCCTCCTCCTCCTCCTCCTCCTCCTCCTCCTCGTCCTCCTCCTCCTGCTCGTTCTCTGCCTCCTCCACCTCCCTCTCTCGCAAGCCCGAGGAGGCTAGAGTGAGCAAATCCTGGTCTCCCTCGGTCAGGGAAGAAGATCTCCTCTGAGCAAACTGGCTTGCTTCAGCTTGCTACGATGGCAATCGTCCTGTAAATGCTGGGAAGCTACACTGCCTTTAATAAGAGCCACAGCGATAGCAAAACCATCCAGGCGAAGGACCCAACCATATGTGGGTGTGAGTACCGCAAGGCAGGTGGGACGATCGAGGGCCAGCTCCCTGTGGGGCCACCAAAACTGAGGGGTTTGCCGAACTGGGTGCGGTGGCGCATGCGAACCCTGCCGCTGGGGCCTTCGCTGGAGCTCCCAATGGGGTGACGAAATGTGTGAGGGGCGTGCCAACCTGGGTGCGGTGACGCCATGGGGACCCTGCCACTGGGGTCTTCGGTGGAGCTTCCTAAGTGGGCGTGGGGCCTCCTTCGGTGCGGCTTCCTGTGGGGCCACTAAACGTGTAGGTGTGTCGACATGGGTGCGGTGGCGCCGTGCGAACCCTGCCACTGGGGCCGTCGCTGGAGCTTCCTGTGGGGCCACGAAACGTGCAAGGGGTGTGCCGAACTGGGCGCGGCGGCGCCATACGAGCCCTGCCACTAGGGCCTTCGGTGGAGCTCCCCGTGGGGCCACGAGACGTGTGAGACACGAATACGAAAATGACGATGACGCTGATGACGGTAATGACGATGACGGCGACGAGGGAGGAGGAGGGAGGAGGAGAGGAGAGGGAGAAGGAACGCCGAGCGCCGCTGACTCAAAGCGGGGACCCATCACCACAAGATGGCTGGGAATGGCAGGACAATGCGACTTACCAGTCCCGGAACCAAGCCAGCAGTGCTTACGAATTCGGCGTAGGAGGAGACGAGGAGGAGGAGGAGGAGGAGGAGGAGGAGGAGGAGGAGGAGGAGGAGGAGGAGGAGGGAGGAGGAGGAGGAGGAGGAGGAGGAGGGAGGAGGAGGAGGAGGAGGAGGAGGGCGTCAATGGGGCAGGACTCGCAGGGCAGGTGTGCGGGGGCTCCACAAGGGCCCCCGCAGCTTTTTGTCAGGGCCTGCCTCTGCAGCACGTCGCACACTGCAGGCCAACGCGGCCTCCACCCCAACGGAGAGGGCGCGGCCCCGAGCGGGGCAGACCCTGACGCGAGGGGGCGGAGCTCTGAGGATGCGCTGCAGGGGCCGCGCGACTCGCGGGGAGGAAGGCCAAGGCAGCAGAAGGGCATCCGTCGCCTGGCCAACGGGAGTGGGCTTCGAGCGCAGAGGTGCGACACGAGCCCCCCGTCGCTGGGAAGCAGAAACTGAGCAGCGCCAGGAAACCTGTCGACCCACGGAGGCAGCGTGTGGATTCGTGCCCGAGCAAGTTTACGCGCATCGTGTTACGTGTTTCGCCCTCCGCCCCCCCCCCCTCCCTCCGCCGCCTTTGCAAACAGCGCTGGCCCGAAGAGGCGTCAAAGTGCGCCCCCACCTTCGTGAAACCCAGATTTCCTCTCGGGCCTGGCCCCGCCCACCCCCCCTCCCCCTTCTGTGCCGCGGTCTATACACAAAAACGGCATCAACGTCCACTCAACATCGGCCCCCCAAACCCCTCTCCCGGACCCGCTCCTCGAGACGGATACGATCATGGCGAAGAGAAGCCTCGAGGCCGAAAAGAAAACGAAAGCGTAGCATAGTAAAACAAACATTGGCTTTTGGAGCTCCGCGCGGTTTCCTTGAAAATCGGCCTCCCCGGCGCGCGGAGCGCGCAAGGGAGGCCAGGGGGCCCAGCGACGATCCGAGGAAGTCGCGCGGAGCTCCGAAAGTCTGTGGTCCCCGTCCGGCAGGTGGAGCCTGTCAGGGTTAGAGAAAAGAGCCTCCGACATGCCTCTTAATGTGGCACCATCGCGAAGGTCGGCGGCGAGCGAGGGGGGGGCATTTAGAAGGAGAAGGCCATCTCAGAAGGCCGCGGGGCTTCTCCGGAGCCCTCGCGCCTTCTGCAAGGTCTCCTGCGTTGTTGGGGGGAGGCTCAGAAAACTTCTAAGGTAGGCCTGGGGGCCGTCCGAGCCTTCTGAGCCGTCCGAGCCTCCTGCGTTTTTGGGGGGAGGCTTATAGAAAACTTCTAAGGTAGGCCCGGGGGCCGCCCGAGCCTGCTGAGAAGGCCTTCTCCTCCTCGCTTCCCCCCCCCCCGGCGCGCGCCGCCGGCGGCAGTGTGCGGAGCACGACGGACGACGACGACGAGGACGAGAGAGGGGAGGGGGAGGGGGAGGAGGAGGAGGAGGAGGAGGAGGAGGAGGAGGAGGAGAGGAGGAGGAGGAGGAGGAGAGGAGGAGGGGAGGAGGAGGAGGGAGAGGAGGAGGAGGAGGAGGAGGGAGGAGGAGGGGAGAGAGAGAGGGGGGGGGGGGCGGGCAGGGGCGGAGCACGGCGGCCCCGCCGGGGCCCCCGCCCGCCTCGCACACCCCGCACACGCCGCGGCCGCCGGGCCCCCAAGGGGGCAGGGCGCTCCCCGGGCGCAGTGGGAGCTCGGCCACAAGGAACCTTCCACGGCAGAGGAAGAGAACTCCTCCTCCTCCTCCTCCTCCTCCTCCTCCTCCTCCTCCTCCTCCTCCTCCCTCCTCCTCCTCCTCCTCCTCTTCCTCACGCCAGAACCATAAACTTTTGGCGCTCCGTACGGACTTCTTGGATCTGCGCTGGACCCCCCTCCCTGGCGCGCGGAGCGCGCCAGGGGCGGCGCCAGAGGCGCCCTGGGGGGGCCCAGCGCGGATCAAACCCAGGGCCCCCAGGGGGCAGGGCGCTCCCCGGGCGCAGTGGGAGCTCGGCCACAAGAGACCTTCCACGGTAGCAGAAGAGAGAACGCTAGAAACATCAGCATCAGCAACATCATCATCAACATCGGCATCATCATGAGCAGCTTCATCCTCAACATCGGCTTTATCATTATCATCAGCATCACCACCGTCAGCACCGTCAACACCGTGAACATCAGTATTATCATTATCATCAGCATCACCACCGTCAACACCATTATCATGCTGATAAACTTTTGGCGCTCCGTACGGACTTCTTGGATCTGCGCTGGACCCCCCTCCCTGGCGCGCGGAGCGCGCCAGGGAGCGGCGCTGGAGGCGCCCTGGGGGGGGCCCAGCGCGGAGCCAAGACATCCGCTCGGACCGCCAACAGTTCAGGTTTCATTCTGCCGTCTTATCGATAAGGAACCCAGCCATGAGACCCCGGGACGCCCATGGATTTTGTCGGTGTGGGAGCTCCACGCTTGCCATCGCGAAACGGTCGAAGCCCAAGAAACCCAGGGCACCCTGGAGGCAAGCAGGCAGGGTGCTCCCCGGGTGCAGTGGGAGCCCGACCAGAAGAAAAGCCTTCCACCATAAAAAAAAACCCAACCCTGAGATCCCAGGACGCCCAGGGATTCGTTTGGTGTGCGGGAGCGTCACGCTCTCCATGGCGAAACTGCCGAAACCCAGGGCTCCTTAGAGGCAACCGAAGTGCTTCTTGGCATGGGTCTCCACCGTTTCCCGCCTCGCATCTTCCACGATTGGCGGCTGCATAGTTACCACGGCCGCCTGGCTGAACAAGGGATCCGCTGCTCTCTCTAGGGAGGATCCTCCGCCTCGCGCTCTCTCGGCTGGGGGGGGAAGGGATCGCTCAAAGCACAACGCGTTATCCTATTTTGGAGCCCTTTCGAGAAACAAACAATGACATAAACATATAAACTCGGAGGTCCGCCCGTATTTCTCTGTTCAGCGCTGGACCCCCCTCCCTGGCGCGCGGAGCGCGCCAGGGGCGGCGCCGGAGGCGCCGCCAGGGGTCTCCAGCTTCGATCCGAGAAATCTGCGCGGACCTCCGAGTTGTGATGCTTACGTCTCTGCTTGTTCCCCTGTTCCTGGGGGAACCCTCGAAAGAACGATGCCGCGCTGCTCCCCAGGCCTCTCTTCTGGTTACCAGCCTGGAACATATCCCTACCCCTATGCTGGGCACATCCTCATCACGATGCCAATCTTAGGGATTCCCTTATTTTTTGAGGGCGGATCCCTAAGATTGTCATCGCCTTTTGGCGTGTCAATAGGGATAGGGATACGTTCGAGGCTGGAAATTTCGGGTGCGTGCGGACCAGGAGTTTTTCTGAGCGAATCCAGCCGCGAGCGACCTCTCGACAAGCCCCACCGGTCGAGCGCAGCAGCAGCGCCCGCCCCCCGTGGGCGCGGCCGCCGACACCGCTCCGAGGCCCGCGCGGAGACCACGAACGCGAGCTCCTGCGGGAGGCGGCGCCCCGCGGCGCCGGCGGGGTGCGCCCGCCTGCCGAGAGAGAGAGAGAGAGAGAAAGAGAGAGAGTAACTGTTTTCCGAGAACAACCCAACTGGACACCTCGCGAGCCCACTGCAGAGCACTTCGTGAAATGGCGGCCGACCTACGCACTCCGAGCACCGCTTGGGTGCGCAGGCCACTCTGAAGAGGCTCGAGCACAAACGACGATGGCACGGAAGACAAGTGGAGGATAGGATGGGACTTGGATGGTAGGAGGATGAGATGAGATGTGGCCTGCGAGCACCATGCTCCGGAACCGCTCTGCTGGAGCACGGGGGAACGTGCTCCGGAAACGCTCAGCCGGAGCACGTTGGGGAGCACGGCGGAACGTGCTGCGGACACGCTCTGCTGGAACACGCTGGGGAGAGTGAGGCGGAGAGATGTTTGAGGATGGGTTGAAAGAGAGAGAGAGAGAGAGAGAGTCCCGAGTCCCATCCAAGGAATCTCTTACGCTTTACGTGCGACCGCGTGCCAGGCTAGACCTTGGTGCCAGAGGCCGAGGGGGAGGAATACGGGGGAAAGGATGGGTGCGGGAGGTCGGGGGGTATGGAA